GGTTAGAAGGGCCCCACTCATCCAACCCATGACTGTCCAGTGTGGGCAGGGAGGTGACCAAACTGTATTGCATAACTGTAGCAGAGGAAAGTCAGGTAACCAGACCTGATGCAGGTTGTGCTGTCTGGTAGGGCTGTGTAAGGAGTGGCTATACAGGCATAAAATCTGTTTTACCTGTGTTATTATCTGTTTTTCCTGGAGACCAGCTTCATAAAAGTTCACCTAAAGGGATTTTTATCCCGTGTCCTGCAGTGGTAGTTTGGTAATCTTGTTGGTGTCTAGAGAGCAATCACTCAGACTGCCACTTTAAGGAAGAAAGTGAAATTCTTAAGAAAGGTTACTATTACTGTGAAGAATCTGAAGTACTTTCTGTTGAGGAAGAAGCAGAACAATACTAATAGGGGAATTTTTCTTTTAATAGAACACATTTTTTAATATGTGTATAAACCTATATATATATATACAGGTGAAAAGTGAGAGTACAAAGGTCTATTTATACACATATGACATGAGGCATTGCACATATGAGAAATAAATGTAATTCTTTAAAATATTAGCCCATGGTAACCAGTCAAAAGCTATCTTGCTTTCTAGGTAGGTACTGGCCCCTAAAGCTTACTATACTTAAAGCAGACTTATACCTACCCTAGGTCCTTACAGCCAAGGAAGGTGCCCTCTTGGCCTCTATTGGGATTGCTTCACATGTGATCAGCTATGACACCAGCCGTTTGAGAGCATGAAAGTTTGGTTGAGAGCTGAAATTAGCAACTAGTAATTCTTGACACTTAGTACAATATGAATGCCTTAAAAGTAACTGTTTTTGCTTAAATTGGTAAGTCCGTTTCAAAATAGATATAAGCCCAACCAATGCAATCTCATATAAGCATTAACATGTTAATATTATAGCAAGATTATTGTTTAATATTCTTAAACCTGCAGTTTATATTAAAATAAAGCATACCATGAAGGTTCTAGTTCAGACACGTCCCTGTTTTAGGGTGACAACACTCAGTTTTTGTCTTCTAAGTGTGCTCCTGTGTTGCACACACAGGTTTACAGTGCTAAAACTGGCTATTTCAAAACACTCTACGCAGATGCATTCTTATGTAGTCACCATAGGGTTACTTTAAGAATTATTGCTTAAAGTGACACTAAAGTCAGTAGTTAAAGCTTAAAAATGCATTCAAGTACCTTAACTATTAACAAAACGGTACTTATTAGTGTATCACTTAGGTGCTGACACTGTCCTTTGTTCTGGAGAGTGGCTACTCTGGGGAACAGGGTCCATATTCCCCCATGGACCCTGTGTGTGTAGTAAAGTAGCCACGGCTCAAAGCTCACTCCTTTGATAGACTACAATCTCAATACAAATTAGTAAACTAAACATGAGATTGTAGTCCATCACAGGAGTGAGCTTGCTGCGATCACTACTTTACAACACACACAGGGACCATGAGGAACAAAAGTAGCCACCCTCCAGAAGGAAGGACAGTGTCAGCACCAATTCAGAGATGGTCTACGCAGATGCATTCTTATGTAGTCACCATAGGGTTACTTTAAAAATACAAACTCTTTTATAAAATTCATACACAAGTTTATTTATTAATTCATATGTATTTTTCTGCAAATATTTGTTAGTTATAAAATATAGTAGACATTTTGCTTGGTTGTTTGAAAGTGATTTAGCATCAAAATGTGATCTTACAAACAGCCCACAAGCTGTGAACCTCAACATCAGACTTTCCTTTGCACTAACAACCAAGAATCAACTAAAACTGAAAAAAAGGTGTTGGCATGTAAGCCAGGAATAAATATGCAGGTAGACTATTGTCAGATTAAAAAATATTCTCAAAGTGATACCTTTTAGGTTTTCTGGAACAGGTTCCTTCTTTGGGTATACAATTGTCTTTTTATAGCAGAAGCTATTTGCACATCCAGCAAAAAACACCAAAACAAGTCGCTCAGTCTCTGCTTATGAGGAAGTGGACGGAATCATGCAAATCATTCATTTGTGTCCCAATTAGCTATCTGTGCATCCAGAACCACTGTTATATAGACCTTAATGGTTGTACTGTTCTTTGGTATATAGACATTGGTATTATTTGTTTTATGGTTTGGTATCAAACTTATATGACACTTTTGCCTTTGCTATCTGTGCAGTCCACCCACGGCACCCAGTAAACCTTTTGTACAATTTTTTTAATTTTTTTATTTCCTACCCTTTGTCTATTACCCTCAGTATCAAGGTTATCTTTCTGACACTATATGGTTAGTTTTATTGCATGTTTACACCTTGCTACTTGTATGCATGTGAAACTATCTGTTGTAATTTATTTTATCTGGCTCCATTACACCTAAGGGTGAGCGTAGTTAGGTGATTTAGAGGGTTATTTTTATGCATTTGTACACGCTTTTTTATGTGTGACATGTAGTACAGGAGCAGAATCATCTTTTTTTCCCCCTTAGACTTTTAAATGGGAGCACCTGAAAAATGCACGTAAGCATGCATTTTTTAGGCACTCCCATTAAATTCAATGGGCAGAAAACACATGTTTCTGCCCCAAATGAAGCTCATGTACTTTTTTAAGCTGCACATGCAAACTACAAGCATCACAATGCTCAGGTGAAAATGGGCCCATTGAGAATAATGGGATTCTTCATCTTGAGTGTTATTGCGCTTAGGAATCAAACAACGAAACACTCAGGTGTAAATGGGCCCATTGAGAATAATGGGATTCTTCATCTTGAGTGTTATTGCGCTTAGGAATCAAACAACGAAACACTCAGGTGTAAATGGGCCCATTGAGAATAATGGGATTCTTCATCTTGAGTGTTATTGCGCTTAGGAATCACACAACAAAACACTCAGGTGTAAATGGGCCCATTGAGAATAATGGGATTCTTCATCTTGAGTGTCATTGCTCTTAGGAATCGGACAACGAAACACTCAGGTGTAAATGATGGGCCCATTGAGAATAATGAGATTCTTCATCTTGAGCGTTATCACGGTTCAGGAATTGTACAGCAAAACGCTAAAGTGTGAACGGGGCCTTAATGGTGGGTTTGCACTGTACTAGTCTGTGAACTGGTTCTTTTATACTAATAGTTCTGTTATTATTCTGCATGCTGCATGTCTATGACATATTTTCATAATATAATTGACTTTCTGTACAACATGCATTTGACGATTTCTTAATATTTATGATAAGCAACGTATAATCTCCATTTATCAATCTTGCTTTGCCTACTGTGTACATTTCAACCATGAAATGTAGTAGACTGTCATTTAAGTTGGCAACAAAATAATGAATAGTAGACTAGTTCTGTGTAGCTTTAACTCAGGCTATTTACATGTATGCAGAGCACACACCCTTTCATTGAACCTTTTGTACTCTGTCATTGACTGCACATTGCTCTTCTTATGGAAATATAAATCTTTAGACTTGCTGTGATCTTTTGCATTGAGCCCAAACAGAGACTTTGAATACCCCAATGTACGCATAAATATGCCCCAGTGTAACATAAACAGTGCCCTGCCAAGAAAGTAGTCAGAGAGTTCACAAAAGGGCAGCCAACGATCATTTCATATGTTGTCACAGGACATGGTCTTTGACCCACAATTAGGTCACCAGAGTTGAGGAGAGATGAATTTCATTTTGCCAAATAATTGTAAAATTGGTTTGACTTACTTTCTATATAGTTATGGGAATCATTTTAGACTGTGTTATTAATTAAAATATTGAACTTCTCGTATTTGTTCCCTTATAGTCTTTTAAATATACGATTAAAAGTTTTTTGCTATATTTTTGTGAATAGTTAAGGTACTTGAAAGCATTTTTAAGATTTAACTCCTGAGTTTAATGTCACTTTAAAAGAAAAGTGTGTGCTCAGAATCTAAACCTATTAAAGTGCAGATGAAGCCAAAACTTATTTTTAGTTTTGGATAGAGTGGAGAGGAATTAGATCAGCTGTCAAATTTTAATTGCTCTCTGTGTCCCACGCTACAGAGATTCACCCCCTCTATTTGTTCTGGTGAAGGTTATCCCTAAAAGGAAATCCCAAATTTGTCGTTGTCCCCAAAACAGGTATAGAGGGAAAATCTTGCAATGGGGGCACTAGTTCTATTGACCCTGCTGACGACCAGGGATTTCCCTCACTTTGGAGGGATATCTGCTCATTTCCTAATGTGGCTATTGGACAGGAAGTGCCCATCGGGGGACACATGGAAAACAAAAATTGACAGGGGTATAACCCTCCTTTACGCTATCCAAAACTAAAGAAAAGAAATGGCTTAAGTTCTACCTCGAAGCCAAACCTTTTTTTAGTTATGGATAGAATAGGGAGGGGCTATCATCCCTGCCAGTTTTTAGTGCTGTCCTGTCTGTGTCTCCACTGTGGAGATGCACCCTTTCTATTTGTCCCAGTGTCCATCATCACTGGAACTAAACGTGAGGGAACAGAAAAAGAAAGGAAGCCTTATGTACTTGAAGCAAGCAGTAACTAGAGCTTTCCAGGTTGACCACTCCTTCTACTCTAACCTGCCTATTGGTCTGGGTTGCTGCCTATCACACTCTGTGGCCAGTAGAGATGGGGAACATGGAAGGAATTGATCAGAGACGACCAGGGAAACTGTGGTCTCTGATTGCTTAATAAAGTTCCCCCGGATTTCTAGTTTCCAGACCAGTCTAGAAATGAACTCAGCATGGATGCACACACTAGAGGTAGTCTGAGTTATCATACAAAAACATTTGTGTCCAGATCAATATTCCAATTATAAAACAACATTTGCACTGGGGACTGTGATTTTTAATCTGTAGTAACCAGGCACAGAACAATATTAAACACTTCTATCAATATACTGCTTTCATTTATACTACTGAAACTTTTAACAAAAAGTGCAAAAGTTGATGATTCTCCACTGCTGGCCTTTTAATTAAGCTGTTTGAAAGCATAATTTTTCAATCTTTCCACATTTAATATGCGTTTCTTTTGTTTTGTAGGAAGCTTTACTTTGCCCTGGACTGTAAAATGCAAGACTCAGTTCAGCCCAACGTTCATAGCAAAATGAGATTTCAGAAGATGTCGGTGCATTGCCATCTAGTGGATTATATTTAAATGACAACGTGGAAGATCAGCTCAGCGGATTCTGCATTTGGAAATATGGCTGCAGGTTCATTAACTGCTACAAAACTTATTCAAGCAAGTCAGAGGTGTGACATTACTATTAAGCTTCACTACAACTACACAGGAAAATCCTTGAAATGCAATGGCGATCAAATGGAAAAGACCAGTATGCTCTTTCTTATCATATGTAGCTTTATAGTACTGGAAAACTTAATGGTACTTATTGCTATATGGAAAAATAACCGATTCCATAACAGGATGTACTTCTTTATTGGCAACCTTGCACTTTGTGATTTACTAGCTGGGATTGCTTATATAGTCAATATTCTTATGTCTGGAGCGAATACATGTACTATTTCATTGACTGCATGGTTTGTCAGGGAGGGCAGTATGTTCGTTGCCCTGGGAGCATCCACATTCAGTTTGTTGGCTATTGCTATTGAAAGACACTTGACAATGATAAAAATGAGGCCTTATGACGCCAATAAGAAATACCGTGTGTTTCTGCTCATCGGGACCTGTTGGCTTATTTCCTTTTCATTAGGTGCCTTGCCAATTCTTGGCTGGAACTGCATTAACAACTTAGATGAATGTTCTACTGTGCTACCCCTCTATTCCAAAAAGTATGTTGGATTTTGCATTAGCATTTTCATAGTCATTCTGATAGCCATAGTCATCCTCTATGCGAGAATCTATATCTTGGTGAAGTCAAGCAGCAGAAGAGTCACAAATCACAGCAATTCAGAGAGATCAATGGCACTCCTCAGGACTGTTGTCATTGTTGTGGGTGTCTTTATTGCCTGCTGGTCACCTTTATTCATCCTTCTTTTAATTGATGTAGCCTGTAAAGTTATGGAGTGCCAGATACTGTATCAAGTTCAATGGTTCATTGCTCTAGCTGTCCTTAATTCAGCTTTGAATCCTCTCATCTACACTCTGGCCAGCAAGGAGATGCGACGGGCTTTTTTCCGCCTGGTGTGCGGCTGCTTGGTTAAGTCCAGTGCCTCACGTTCTCTACCGATTCAGCCAACTCCCGACCAAAGCAGGAGCAAATCCAGCAGTGGCAGTAATTCCCCAAAACACAAAGGATTTATACAAACCTGTTCTCAAAGCAAAGATGACAAAAGTGAATCTTCATTTCAGAATGGAAACGCCATCAAATGACTTTCTGCTACGCATAAGCAGTTGATGGACTGCTCTGTATCAAGGGCAAAAGAGACTAAAAAGACAGTAGAAACTGTATAATTGTTTTATAGTTTTCCTGCACTTAAATTATAATAACTGACGTAGTACCATAAGGTTCTATATTTAATGCATGGATTTCTACATTTTTTATAAAATGCTGTAACTCAGGTAAAAGATTGCATGTTACAATCAGTTACATTTTAAATGCTTGTATGCAGAAATCCCAGCATCTTGTCTATTCAATTTAAAGTTATACTCAATGAGTGTATGCCTAATATCTGTAGTCTTTTCTAAATTAAACAGATAACACTATTATGCAGTAGTCCTACTGAAAGATCAACAAATAAAAATGTACTAATTGCATGGGGTATTTAGCTTAGTTGTTTGTTACTGAAAAGAAACAATACTTAAAATATCAAAACATAGGGAGGCAGTGGTCCCATCTATAGCAAGAAATCTTGTCCAAACAACCAGGTTTGCTGTGAAGAAAAGAACATTTAAAGTGACATTAAACCCTCAGATTTTGTAACATAAAACAATACTGTAATGTGTGCCTTACTGTAATCCATGGTTGTTTACCTTCTCTTTGCTGCTCGTTCTTTTAAATCTGTATCTCTTCTCATGCTGGGCAGAACTTCTGTTTTGCAGCAGACTGCCTTGTCTCTGGAATGGATACATGGTGTCTGTGTGTAGGTTCACAACCTGAGCCAGCACTACAGGAAGAGGCACTCAGCTGCAAAGGGAAGTTCTCCCCCAGCATGAGAAGAGATACGGATTTAAAAGGAAGAGCAGCAAAGAGAAGGGAAAAAACCATGGATTACAGTAAGGCACACATTACAGTATTGGTTTATGTTGAAAAATCTGAGGGTTTAATGTCACTTTAAGCTCATTTGTTGTGGTATACGACTTTTGATTTGCCTCTGTAGTTTATCCATTAGCCCCTTTTCCCTTAGATAGGAACCAGTCATTTCCTTGGTAGAAAAATTCATACAAATAAGTATTTATTTAGCAGAAGTTGCATTTTTCTCAAATGCTATATCACTATTAATGTTTTTTGCAGTTGCAGTGTTCATTTCCAGTTCTTAAGTTAAAACTGAATTCTGGCCACACAAACTTTCACTACTGTATAATTCTCAACAGCCACAAAGGATACATTTTATGTGCAGCACTTATATCAAAATATATGATGACAATATCCAGTCTGCCTTTCAAAATGTCATCAAGTTAAGCTTTAGATCTAATTTAAGATAAACTGAATTACCTCCTGGCTTTAGCACAGGGGTTTGATAGTAATAGTAGCTCCTTGATCGATTTGTTACCTGGAAAGTTTGTTTACAAACTTATTTTACAATAAGTATCATGTACAATAAGTATCATGACAAACGCATCAAAAGAGCAATTACACTGTAAATACAGAGATCTACTCTTCATCTTCTGGAGGGGATGCCCAGCTCTTCATCTGTCCACTCAGAAGGGTCAGGATAGGGAAAGTGACCAAAAACGTAATCCGGATCATGCCAAAAATGCCAAAGGGTCCAAAACCACACAAGGCCACCGATCAGCTCTGCCCTTATAATGTGTGACCTGGGCACCTCAGTCATCTGTCTGTAGTGAGGTTCTATATGGCCTCTCGCATGGCGAACTCCATGCTGCTTCCTCATCGCAGCCCCAAACAGACGGCCTCCGGCCTTCAGAGCTCCCCCGAGCTGGACCAGCGACGCCATGACACCGGATCAATATCACTATCCGCCTGAGCACGTTGATTTCTTTTAATTCAAAAATAAAAATTTGGATTACCATTAAGGCAATGGGAACATTATATCTGTACTAAAGGCAGAAAGGCCCCTTTGAAATTATTCTATTTTTTACAGCCTGCTTCTCATACTTTAAATGTTTGTGGGTGAAGCTAGAGTGGGATCAGAGAGAAGGTGGTGTGTGAACCACTGCATATTCTGGACACTGGCACTCCAAAGTAGAAAAACGTCTCTTTATTGACGTTTCATGCAACAGTACACTTATTGCAATGTTTCGTAGTCACACAGGATTCCCTTCATCAGGCAGAACAAGTGAAAATTGCAAACAGATATGGACAAGTATTTATACACATCCTTGTATGTGAAGAAACCAATCCCAATGCCTAAAAGTGATCCTATGACGTCACAATGGTAACAAGGCCGTGGCAGCAGCGTCCCGCCGCTACCATGGGAACCGATGACGCGATCGGCGCCACGCCCCCCTGAGCACACTCGGCCTATCAGTACAGAGTACGATCACAGTGGTAACTGTGGGTGCGGCCTGAACATGACAGGCAACAGCTCTCCAGCGGCCGGCCACGCCCCCACCCCCCTCCGATTACCGATCTGTGTACCTGGAACAGCTGCTTCTGCAGCCGTTACACAGACACACATCCCCAGCAGCAGCATGTCACATCAGCAGCAGCATGGCACATTTGTGAGCTTCATAGACACTGCATTACTCCATCTCTGAGTATTATCACAATACCACACATATGATCATGTTTTGAGCAACCCCCATATGTATACAGTAGCAACAGTACTTAGATTTTTGGCAGGAAATGACGTCATTGTGTCGTCATAGGATCACTTTTAGGCATTGGGTTTGGTTTCTTCACATACAAGGATGTGTATAAATACTTGTCCATATCTGTTTGCAATTTTCACTTGTTCTGCCTGATGAAGGGGATCCTGTGTGACCCCGAAACGTTGCAATAAGTGTACTGTTGCATGAAACGTCAATAAAGAGACATTTTTCTACTTTGGAGTGCCAGTGTCCAACATTTCTTATACTCGATTCTGACGGTGGCCATCCGTCGACTACTGATGCACCCAGCCTATCATTACGGATTAGCGGTAAGGAGTGCAATGGGTACATGGATTGCCACTGCATATTCTGGCTTGCATTCTCTCAGCCAGTAGCTATGCAGATTTATCTTGCTAGACAAATTGACACACAGTGTAGTAGTAATAATACGTTTACTATTGGTATAGACATTTTTATTCATTTTCTGCAATATCCAAGCTTCATTTTTGAGGTGCAATCTCCAGGCCCATCAGCCTCATTCTGGCTTTACATCCTAGTGAGTTACTTACCTGGAACAAGAGTGCTGGATTGGAGCTAATGCTGCATTTACGTGGTGTAGTATTGTCCCATTTGTGATGTCATTCCAATCACAGTCATTTCCTGTACAAAGTTTTTACATTAATGGCTGTGCTTTGTGCAGCAAAGGTAAAGTGCAGTTGAACATTATAGCTGGGGTCATTTAGGAAGCATCTTCAAGACTAAATTATCTGACTTGTAGAGCTGCAGCTAACGATTATTTGCAAAATCGATTAGTTAGCCGATTATTAAGTTCAATTAATCGGTTAATTGGATAAAATATAAAATACATTTTAAAAAATGGCTCCAGTGATGGGACTACTAGTTTGTATTGAGATTGCAGTCCATCACAGGAGCAAGCTTGGAGCGGTGGAAGTAAAAAAGAAAAAAAAAAACAACCAATCAGAAGCCGATTAATCGATGATTGAAAAAGTTGACAACTTTTTCAATAATCGATTATAATCGATTATGTTGATTAGTTGTTGCAGCCCTACTGACTTGTACATTCCAATACAAGTCAGAACCTTGGAGTTCCCACTTTTATGACACCAGGAGAAAGCAGCATCCACATTGTTATAACTTAATCAATATTTGTTTGATGATTTGCAAAGTGCCCAGGAGATGGTACTGCAATCCAAGAGTTTCATTTAAAATTAATTGTTTTTTAGGCTGCATTCATTAAAGCAATTGAATACCAGTTTATGAACTTTATTAGTTTTAACAAAAGAGTTAGCAATAAACTACTAGGCAAAAAAAATATTTTAAAAAATGATGATAAGTTAGGGATGTGTTCTGTAAGGCTTGCTTAAAGCCTAAAACTGGGTAAAAAAAACGACATTTGCAGTGGAGCTACCTGATTAACTGCTCATTTATGTCAAGGGGTATGGAGAATACTTTTACACACCTGATCTCTGCTCCCCTGGCAGTTGGCCCTTACCTGTCCAACTCTGGCTCATGGACTGTCCCTTGGAATCCTCACATATAATGCAGGTCTATGGGCCCTGCATTAGATGTGATGATGTCAGTGGACCTCTGACCACCAGAACAGAGACTGGAAGAGGCTGTGGGTGTTGGAGCCAGCGTGTATGATGATACGGTACATACAAAGCTTGCAGTTAGGCTTTAAACCTGCACTTATTTTTGTTTTTTGATGTAGTACACAGATTTCACCAGTAGATTGTGCTCAGTGGCTTTCCATGGTGTGTCATCTTCCAGACTCTGATGAGCAATCCAGAGAGCTGTGTCGGGGATTCAGTATGGTTAGCCTTAATGTTTGTTGGGTAGCCAACCTCTGATGAGCTTGTTGTTAGTGAGCTGGGCCTAGCTTTACCAAAATTCCTGGGCATGCTTCTGGAAGGGTCTTTGCCTTGGCCCTCTGTGTCTACTATGTGCTGCTTGTTGCTACTGAATACACAAGAACTATCTAAGAATGGACCTCACCCACGCTGATCTTGCTGCCAGGAGCACCATATGAACCTCCACTGGCTTACAGCTTTACCCAGGATGATCCAATATTTTAAGGAGATATCAATGGGGACAATGGAGTAACACTTCAACCTCCACTGGTCTAGAGCTGCAGTCATAGGACTGCTAGCTGGGAGAAGATTGTGCTACTGCCCAATTGGAGCAATTTCTAGAGTCCCATACTCTCACCTTGTGAAAACTGAGCCTAATTTACCAGACAGGTGCAAGCTATTTTAGGAGCCTGAAAAGAAAAACATGCAGGAGTGATTAAAGAAAAAAACGGGATTTTTTCCACATTAACCCTTGCAGCGGGGCTACCCCCCGACACTGCAAGAGTTAAGTATTCCTCATGGTCTATTTGTGAAAATAATGTTCAGACATTTTCCCGAATGGGATATTTACCATTAGCATATTTTATTAAATATAATCATTTAACATGGCCCTTAGCGTTCATTTTTAAATTCAAACGCAAGAAATACAGTGGTACAGAAAGCATACTAGAAACAGAAATAATAACTTTGATGTGACAAATTG